CTAAGTTATATTGGAAGACAAACAAATACATAAAATATTTATTTCATTTATTATTTTTTTCTTTATATTTTCTATGAACTACACAGACACATGAAAACAAAATATTTTTTCTTTGTTTCTTTATATTTTCCAGAATGTACATGATTGACAGACAGACGGAGCGCACACCTGTTTTCTGGAAGACGCTGCGCTGTTTGCTCTGCAGGACACTTTCACAGAACTGTGCCGTCGGCCCTGATGCACGGAGAGCCTCTGCTCGGACAGATTCGACGGCAGCGGGTCTCGAAACAAGATCCTGGCGATCAGACCGTACAGAACCGAAGCCACGACGAGAGGAACCACATAAAACAGCGTGAAGTCCAGGAAGTAGATGGGCATGTAGAGGTTCCTGGACACCCGATAGCCGCAGCGGACCACGACGCCGTTAGAATAAATCGTCTCATTGGTGTCCACCAGGAAGAACCACATGATGCAGTAGAGAGATGTGAAGATCCAGACGCAGGCGATGATCTTCTTGGCTCTCGATACGGTGCAGATGAACTGGGCTTTGATGGAGTGGCAGATGGCGATGTAGCGCTCGGTGGTGAAGGCCGTGATGGAGCAGGACGAGACGTTGATGCCCAGGTACTGCAGGTAAGTGATGCAAACGCAGCCGGCGTAGCCATAGATCCACGAAGCCACAACCTCAGAGATGTTCGGTAAACCGGCGGCCAAAAGCACGGTCAGATCAGCCATGGCTAAACTCACCAGGTAGCAGTTGGTCGCGGTCATCATGTGTTTGCTACGGATCACCACCAGAACCACCATGACGTTCCCGGCGATTCCCACGCCGCAGATCAGCAGCGACAGAGAGATGGTGACCGCCTGAACCTCCAGCGAGTTCTCCGGCATTGTGGCCAGAGTCTGACCGTCGCTGGAGTTTCTGTCAGGATATGTTGAGGTGCTGTTATCCATCCTGGTGTTTCTCAAGATATTCCAATTTGAGCTATCTCAACAAAAAACCTGGAGAAAGTTTGAGAAAAATGAAGAAAATTGCACACCATTTCTTTGATGTTCTTGATGAGTTTTTAATTTTCTTTAGAATTCTTATTAATAGAATTAATATTTATTTTAAATCATTTGTTTTTATTTTTATATTTTGTGTTTTCATTTTAATTTTTGTTAAATTTTATTATTTTTATTGTCTTTTTTTAAATACATATTGTTTATAAATTTTTATTTTAGGTTTGGTCATTTT